AAAAAAAAACTACAATTATAAATGAACACATCAAAAGATTTAAGGATCAGAAAACAAAGATTATAACAAACGGCTGTATTTAATTTTAGATAGATCTTTTATCTCTAAATATTGCCATTAAAAATAGCCCTTTTTAATCTTAAAAATTCTTAAGTGATTTCATCACAATTCAGCCAGTAAATGATATCTATGCCCATATATGATAAGGATAGTGAATCAAGTCTTTCTTAAATTATTGCTGACTTTTGGGTTTTTTTTAAGTCTCATAAAGGGGCCCTAATGGCATAGTGGTTACAACTTAGGCTGCAATCCAAAAGGTCAGCAGTTCGAGACCACCACTCACTCTGCAGGATAAAGATGGGGCTTTCTACTCCTGTGAGCAGCTATAGTCTCAGTCACTCACAGGGCAGTTTCCCCCTGTTCTATAGGGTTTCTGTGAACCGGCATCGACTCAATGGCAGAGTTTTAGAGGGACAAAAATGTTGTTCAGTTTGTGATCACTAAAGTTAGGAGCATGTGTAAACCAATGGCAAAACTGGGAAATACACAAGTGTATTTTATATTCTGTTATGAAGTGTCAGCATAATTAAAACTTACCTTTCCTGAATCTGTAAACATAGTCTCTGTCAATGTGTGGATTCAAGCCATCAGGAGAAGCCTGCCTGAGTTTCTTGGATGCCTTCATGTGTGTGTCCATCCTGTTCACGTAGGGAAGTCTCTTTGAAAGCACGCCATACACTTTCGCCCTTCTTCCCAGGCAAGATTCAAATGCAGCGTGTGCTTACGTGAGCTTGACCTCTGGCACACAGTCCTTCTGGAGCACCGCTATCGTGGGCTTGCTGCTTGGCGCTCTGCTGCCTCAGTGGTGATGGCTGCGTGGTCATCAGTTTGTGTGGTGCTGTGAGAAATGTCAGAAGTTCTCTCACATTAGGGGAGTACTGGTGACGATGGTAGAGTCTGTGTGTCTTGAGATTGACTTCTGGATCTTGGAGAATTGACTTCGCCTGTGAAAACGCAGCCCGACTGTTCCCCAGAACACCTCGAGTGCACGCTCCGTGGTGCTCGCTGGTGATGTTTTCGGCTTCTCCCTGCGTCTCCTCTCTGTGTCTGGCGTGTTAAGCGGCAGGTTCTAAAGCCTCGGGAGTCTGAGGGCACCGTTCCAGGGTGCACTCTTGCTGCAGCACATGCTTCCCGGTGTGCATTAGAAAGGCATTTCATCCTGGCTCACGCTTCAGGGTGTTTTAAGTGCTGCCCAGTGGGGGCTGGGAGGGGCAGACAGTGTGTTGGGTCACTACACTGTAGGGGGAACAAACCGCTTCTAAACAAGAGTCTACAAGATTGAGTGAATGCACGGCACCTGGTGTGAAGATTCTTCCCTTCCACCACACTCTGCTGTGTGCCTCTGTGACGTCCCAATGTGCGGCGTTGTCTTAGGACCCGTCTGTATTTGGGATACCCAGTTTTATAAGTCTCACATCAATGGAGATGAAGTTCTCACCAGCGTGACTTTTTACACTAGTAAATGTGATCAGTTGCTCAAGTTTCGTCTAGCGTGTTGGCGATCTTGAAACAATACTTGGCTGATGTGTGAGAAAACGAGGGGTGAACCTGCAGACAAACGGATGCCGAGCCACACTTACTTCCGTGATGGACCATCATCACTTGCTGAGTATTAACCCGCCACGTGGTGTTTCCACACCTCACAGACAGTGGCTGCCCCTTCCTGTGTTGCCACCTTTAGAAAGTCAGGTGTGACTTTCTAAACATCAACTGCGCAACAAGTTCAGGTCAGTCCCCCAAGTTTTGTTTTGTGAGGACCCCAATACTTCATTTCTTCCTCAAATGTATAGTCCGTGTTCAGTGACACTTAAAATGACAGCAGTGACATATTGCAAACCGGCCTTGCAATCCTGTTGTTCTTTGCTAATTTGTGCTTCTAGTTGATGGTCAGCCCAGTCTCTGTGCATCAGACTGCAAAAAGCAAGCAAGCTCTCCTACAACGTCCACTCAGGTCGGAAGCCGACCACACTCTTGAGCAGATCCCGTCATGGGGGATTACTGAGTGTCCTAGCCCAACCAGGTTGACACAAACCATAAGATCACAGCTACATACACTAAAAATCTCATCAGACATTAGGATTTTTGCTTTCTATTGTCAAGGTGTTATCAGAGACTTAAGAGACCAAGACAAGTCTGTTGTATTTGGCCATGGTTTCATCATCTCTCTTGCTCCTCCTCCTCCTCCTCCATCTCTCCAGTGACCCTCTTCCTCATCTTTCTGAAGGTTGTTGAGCGATTCTTCCAGTGGGCCATCTGCCATCTGTCCAGCTTTTGCAACTGCGTCCAGCATGAGAGTGTGCTTTTTGCCTCTTAGCGTTGGAGCCTGGATGGTGCTCCTGAGTTCTGAATCTCTGCATTACATGCTTTCTGTGCAGAATTGCAGAAATGGCGGTGCCCTGACTATTACGAGGACAACGTGCACAAGATGCAGCTCCCGTTTTCCAGCAAGCTCCTGGGCAGCACGCTGAGCTCCGAGGAGAAGCAGGAGAGGCGGCAACAGCAGCTGCGGCGGCTGCAGGAGCTCAACGCCCGCCGGCGGGAGGAGAAGCTGCAGCTCGACCAGGAGCGGCTGGACAGGCTGCTCTACGTGCAGGTGGGAGCACGTGCCCTGGGCCCGGGAAGCTGTCCTTGTGCCTTTTCCCTCCCACCTTCAATGCATTGACCCCCGCGTCATCCTGGGTCAGGTCAGCTGTGGAGAGGTTTTAAGAACAGTAGAGTAGCCAGTGTTTGTGAAAGAGCTCCAGACTCTGGTGTCATTGATGGGTTGACCTAGTTGTGCCCTCTTATCTCCTTTAATTTGTACAACTTAAGCCTGGCACACATAGTATAGAAGACATGGATCTTCAGCATGCAGGCCGGTGATTTTCACACAGCGCATGGGGCTGTGTGTCTGCCATCCAGACCCAGAAACAGAAGGGTGCGGGCACCCAGAAGCTCTTGGGCTCACTGACCTCTGTCACCTGGCTTATGTCACCATCACTTCCTTGGCCTGACCAGTGGTGCTTCCCCGGGAAAGGCTGGAGAGAAGGGAGCTGTGGCTCTGCGGGGGCTGCGGGGAGCCCTGGGATCCCCTCCTGCTGTGTTCGTCTCTCCCTCCTCCTGTCTGTGCTCACCCCGTTTGCATCTGAGGGGCCATGTGACTGCTCTGGTCCCAGGAACTGCTGGAGGATGGCCAGATGGATCAGTTCCACAAATCCCTGATGGAGCTGAACATGGACTCCCCAGAAGAGCTGCAGTCCTACATCCAGAAGCTCAGCTCAGCAGTGGAGCAAGCGAAGCAGAAGATCCTCCAGGCTGAAGTCAGCCTGGTGGTGGATGTGGTAGACAGCAAGCCAGAGGTAATGGAGGGTGCCCCCTGGGCCAGGCTGAGAGAACAGCCCTTCCCAAGGGCTTGGGGGAAGCTCTTGAGAAGGCTGATGTCAAGGGGTTGTGACTGGATTGGGTGTGTGTGTTGGGGGGCTGAAGGGAGTAGTAATTAGTGATGTTGGGAGGACAGGGTGGGGATGGCAGTGGCACTGACCTTGTACCATTGAGGTCCTGGTGGGAAGGGTTTCTCCCTGTGGTTCTTGCCCCACTTTTGGGAGGAGAGAGCCCACGGAGTAGAGAGAGTGACCCTGAGCCTGCTCCTCTGGTGGCTGTCGGTAGTTAGTCACATTCTCCCACTTGCTCTCCTCAGTGTGTTACTGCCTTGACTTGGGACCCCACGGGTCATTCAGAGATCAGAGTGAGCAGCCCTTCCTGAGTGCTTGGAGGAAGATCTCACTCTGTCCTCTTCCCCGCCCTCCCTTGCTCACGGCAAGGTTCACAGTGGCAATCTGCACCCGCTCCTCGGGAGTGAGATGAGGTTTTCCACTCCCGTCAAGGGTGCATCTAGGCGGTCTTCAAGGGCTTCTGCCTCAGAGGTGACTTGGGGGCAGTGAGCGGGAGTTGGGGTGAGTCACAGGAATGGGGAGAAACAGAAACTTTCCACCAGTTAGAGTGCCGCCAAGTTTTGGTAGGGCGCAATGAAGTTGGTTCCAACTCCTAGTGACTGCATGCAATGGAGTAGGCCCGCCCCCTCGCTGGCCTTTCTGGGAGCAGGCTGCCAGTTCTTTCTCTGCAGAGCTGCAGGATGGGCTTGAACTGCTGAGCTTTTAGTTCATAGCAGAGCACTTAACCCTGTGCCACTAGGCTCAGTGACAGGCTTGTGACTAGCCAGAGGAAGGTGGATGGTGATGTTTTTGTTGAAGCTACAGCATTTTGGAACCCCAGTGGTTGACAGCCTTCTCACTTCCAGAGAGAGTTCTGAGGGCGACCCCAGGGCCCCATGGGAAGTTAGGGACCAGGGCTGAAGAGCTTATTAAGACATGGTTCCTGCTTCCCTGGGTGCCTCCGAAAAACAGGGTGCTTGCTACTTTATCTACGCCCCATACTGAGCTGAGTGTCATTGAGTATATTCGGGGTGCGGTGGGGTCTCTGTACATGAAAAGGCAGGCAGATTTTTTTAGAGAGGATTGGGCATTTTAGCTGGGCCCTGGGAGAGTCTTAGGAGTCCCACAGGTAGCAGACAGGGGAGGAGCCTTTGTGAACTCAGCATTAGAGGACTGAGATCAGAGGGCCTGAGGAGAAGTGTGGGAAGAGGTGTAAGGCGCCTGCACAAGGAAGCTGAGGGCATCTCAGGGCACCCTCCTCCTACCCTGCTGGAGGCACCACGGGCCTATCGTTCACCTAGTAACGAAGCCATCCAGAGGACCTCGACTCCCTCCAGTGGCCCCTCGTGTGTCAGAGTGGACTTGTGCTCCATGGGGTTTCGATGGCTGTGCCCTCTTGGAAGCAGGTCACCAGGCTGGAGGGGTTGGACTCCAGGCTGGGTTCAAGGCTGGGCCTTAAGTTGATGCCGACTCACAGCGCTCCTGTAGGGCAGGGAGAACTGCCTGCCCCTGTGTGTTTTTGAGGCTGACTCTTGACCCTAGTAGAAAGCCCTGTCTTTCTCCCTTTGTCCAAAAGTGAGTTTGAGGGTGGAAGTTCGTTTGAATGCTCGTTGACATCTGTGGTGCATGCATGGCTTCTAGAGACGGACGTTTGTTTCACTGCTCTGCATTAGGCTGGTAGTCTTCCCAGGGAAGAGCAGAGGCTCCGAGAACACAGTGTAGGGGATCTCCCTGAGCTCAGCCTTGTGAGACGGTCGTCCTGCAGCAGCTCTCGTTGGGCCATCCCTCCTCTGACCGCACCCCTCGTGGTCCAGAAAGGCCAGTTCTCATGGCGGAAGGACAGGTGGCTGAAGCGGTCTCCCAGGACCCCTCCCCTACACAGCTTCTTTGGTTCTCTGGTGCAGACGAGAATGAAATGCCCGGAGCCTTCTCTCAGTCGGGGTAGGCTCGATGCAGTGAGTTTGGTTCTTGAAGAGGCTCTCTATTGAGAACGATGGCAGCACACAGCTCCCCTCCCCCCATACCCCCTTGCTGAGGTTCCCAAGGTTGGTGGGAAGACACTGACAGGAAGCTGACCCTCCCTCGTGGCTTGTGTTCACACCCCCAGCCCGAAGGGGCCTGCTTCTTAAGGGACCTAATAGTCGATCCCATCAGCGTTGGCACATACATGAGGGGGTGCCGAAAGACTCGGGGACAACCCCTTCTAGCCACCACACGTTTCATACTGATTAAGGGATCCGTTTGATTTTGCCGATGGTCTAAGTTAGTGTGTACAGCACCAGCTGCCCCGCCCTTCTCCCCACAGTTCTAAGGGGGTCGGGTGGGCCACTAGCACAGGCAGTGGGTCGTTCACTGGCCCCCCGCGTGGAGCTGGCACCCTGGACGCCTTCACCGGGGTGGGTGGGGGCTGACGAGGCTTGGATAGGTGGAAAGCACCACTGGTAGAGGTCAGCCCCCTCCTGGCTTTGACACAGTCGTTAGTTCTTATGCAAACCTGTGGAACCGGGCAGGATCCCAGTTCTTCCTGGGGACACCG